GGGGGCCACTGATGTTTTCCGCTGTGGCTGCTGGATCCAGTCCCCCGGCTGCCTTGTACACCAACACCCATCCATTTGTGGCAGATGCCTGGAGCCCTGGGCTGGAAGGGACTGTGAGGTCAAGTTTAGGCTTGGCAGGAGGGGAGGCCTCTGATTTACTACCGGTGTCTTCAACAGCTACAGTTCTCAGCACCATCTTCCCTGCTACTCCCACCTGTAATGGGGTGATGTTAGGTGATTTCAGGTTAGCCCGTGTACCGAAGAACAAACATACCCAGGAGCTTCAGAGTTGGAGAGTTCTCTCCTTTCACCAATATAGATCCAATATATTTGCATGTACCGTTGAATAATACAGGGTTTGACGTCTGCGGGTCCACTTATCTGTGGATTTTTTACAGTACAGTACTGTAAATGTATTTTCCTTCATTATTTTAACGTTTTTTTCCCTAGTTTCCTTTATTGTAAGAACACAGTATATAATACACATACACAAAATGTGTTAATTTATTGTTTATGTTCTCAGTAAGGCTTCTAGTCAACAGTAGGCTATTAGTAATTAAGTTTGGAGGGGGAGTCAAAAGTTAGATATGGGGCGCCTGGGTGGCTCAGTTGGTTAAGCAACTGCCTTCGGCTCAGGTCATGATCCTGGAGTCCCGGGATCGAGTCCCACATAGGGCTCCCTGCTCAGCAGGGGGTCTGCTTCTCCCTCTGACCCTCTTCCCTCTCATGCTCTCTGTCTCTCATTCTCTCTCTCTCAAATAAATAAATAAAATCTTAAAACAAAAAAACAAAAGTTAGATATGGATTTCTGACTGCATGGAGTGGGGGGGGGGTGTCAGCATCCTAACTTCTGCGTTGTTCAAGGGTCAACTGTACATTTACAGGTACTATATTTGTGTTTTGAATTTGCACACTGACCCAGGCATTAATTTATGTAAAATAATATTCTAACATTTTCACAGAGTTGAGCATTTTTAAATTCTGTTTCTGTACTTCTAATTTTATTGCATTGTAGCCCCAAAATGTGGTCTAAAATTGTCCTTGTAGATTTACTAAGTATATTTTTGTGTTGTTAGAATATAACCAAAGGTATTTTTATTTTTTTTTGCAAAAAAGAATATTTTTATTTATTTTTTGTTGGCTTGGTTTTTTAAAAGTTATTTTGCTACTATATTCTTTTGGGTATATATATATATACACACAAATCAGTTATGTTTCATTTCCTGTGCTTTTCTTTCTTACTTAATTATTTTTGCCATTTCTGGCCCATCATCCTTAGACTTTTGCTATGCTCTCGAATCTATGATCTAGTATCTGTTGGTCAATTAAGATTTCTTTCAGCTCTAGATACCAGAAATTCAGAAAATTATTGTATGAACAAGCAAGGGTAGGAGATGAGGCTGTAAAGGGAGGCAGGGGCCAGGTAATCTACAAGCTTTTATTCTACTGCAGTGAAAAGCCAGTTTAAAGCCAGGCAGGGTTTAAATAGGGGGTGGGTAGCATATACAGGCCTACCTCTGAGATATTGCGGGTTTGATAAAGTGAGTCAAATAAATTTCCTGGTTTCCCAGTGCATATAAAAGTTATGCTTAGGGGCACCTGAGTGGCTCAGTTGGTTAAGTGTCTGACTCTTGGTTTCAGCCCAAGTCATGATCTCAGGGTTGGGAGATCGAGCCCCATGTTGGGCTTCACACTCGGTGTGGAGTATGTTTGAGATTCTTTTCTCCTCTCTCTCTCCCCCTCTGCTCTTCCCCCTGCTCGCTCTCTCTAAAATAATAAATTAAATCTGTAAAAAAAAAAAAAGTCATGCTTACATTATAGTGTAATCTATTAAGTGCATAATACCATTATGTCTAAAAAAGTAAATACCTGGATTGAAAGACTGTTTATTGCCAAAAAAATGCTAATCATTGCCTGAGCTTTCAGAGTTGTGATCATTGATCACAGAGCACTGTAACAAATATGATAATGAAAAAGTTAGAAATATTCTAAGAATTACCAAAATATGACAGTTACACAAAGGAAGCAGAAGCTCTTAGAAAAATAGCACCATCAGACTTCGTTGACACAGGGTTGCCACAAAACTTCGATTTCTTAAAAACACCGTATCTGCAAAGCGCAGTAAAGTAACGTGCAGTAAAATGAACTATGTCTGTATCACATTGTTCAGGTTTTTGAGAAATCAGCCTGGCTGCTGAGTGGAGAACAGACTGTAGGAGGGCAACAGACAGGAAGCAGGGAGGTGGTTAGGAGCCTGTGTTTGGCAGCAGACCGAGAGAGGGCAAGGTGGCTGGAACTGGTTTAGAAGTGGTGACAGAAGAGGCTGTAACCAGGATGCCTGTTGCAGGCAGAGCCAACAAGCCACAGACTTGCAGTAGGATCGTGTATGGGGGGGAGAAGGGAAGACAAGTCAGGAATGATGCCTGGGTGCCCCCCTCCCCCCACCCCAGGGATGAGGACCCAGGCCTGGTAGTTCTCAGTGGACAGGTAGTCCTGAAAGCTGAGAGACCATGTGGGATCACTCTGGGGGGGTGGAGGAAAGGGCAGGAAAGAGAATGGGGGAGGGTAAGGATCACTAGAGACCTAGAGGAAGTGAAGCAGGAGGAAGGTAGAGTGAGATGGGAGGGAGTCCAGGAGCAGGGAGGTTCTCAAAACTCCAGAGGGAACTCTTTCAAGGAGTGTTTTCAAATGTACCCACAGATTTGTTCTAACAGGTATGGCAAGCATGCACAGAAATGACTGTCCTAAAGGAAGAAGTTTTTACTCACAGTTCCCTAGAATCAGGAGGAATGACAGGTCATGCAGAGCCACCACTGCAAGCCAAAGCGCATCTGGGTTGGCTGGAGGAGTGAGGGGAGAGCAACCCTTAGTGCTTTTATTATGGGAAGGAATGGGTGAGGCAGGGTAACCAGACCAAGTAGGTTTAGGATTGGCTAGTTTGAAGAGTTTCCATGGGCGCTGGAGTGTAGGGACTGTCCCCAGTTATCTAGAACCCGGCCCTGGGGTTATTAGGGCAGGGGAAAAGGAGTCTGGAGTGTAACAGTTTACAGAAGAGGTGTTTCAGGGTGTCAACTCCAGATTAGTAGGTCTGCAAATGAAAGGCATGCTCATTGCTCAAGTTATTTGCTATCTTTAGGAATTAGCTAACCTGGGAGGGGGCAGGCCCACCCTGGTCAGTGAGACCCCAGATGCCAGAGCATCAGAGAATAAGAATACAGAAAATAAGAAAATATAGCTAATACAAAGGAAGAAGTGCTCAACTGTATCATCTGTATCAAGTGCATCTAAAAGACTGAGATAAGAACAGAAACTTGGCCTTGAATTTGCCAAAATGGAAATCATTGGTGACCTTGATAAAAGCCAAGTCAGTGAGGTAGTCTGGAGGAAAGCTAGAATGGAATGGGGTCAGGAGACAATGTACGGAGAGGAAGCTCTGATGGAGCGGAAACACAATGGTGAGAATGCAGAGGAATGCACAACATTAAGGCACGTGTGTATACTGATAGAAATGACCCAGCAGGCAGGGAGAAATGAATGAATCATTACAGACAGAACTCCAGAACACCGTGGAGGTAGGCTGAAAGGATTCTTCCGTCCCAAATTTACTTAAAGTTACAGCTTTAGTCTTTAAAATAAATGAGATTTTTGCCTTTTATTTCATAATACAGGCACACCCCACCCCAGAACATACCCTCAAGTACTGTTTCCCTGGAAGAACACTTGAGTTATGAATACCCAAACTGCATAGTGTCTGTTCATATGTATATTTTCAGCTGATATAATTTATATTGAGTTTTCAAAACTTAATAAAACACTTTTTTAAAAAGATTTTATTTATTTATTTGACAGAGAGAGAGAGAGCACAAGCAGGCGGAGCGGCAGGCACAGGGAGAGGGAGAAGGTGGCTCCGGGCTGAGCAGAGAGCCTGACGTGGGGGCTTAATCCCAGGACCCTGGGATCATGACCTGAGCTGAAGGCAGACGCTTAACGGACTGAGCCACCCAGGCACCCCATAATAAAACATTTTAAACTAAATGGCTTGCAAGAAAACCTTCACGTTGGTTGGTAGACCATAAAATCACACCACTTTGCAAATTTTGGAGTATCAGCAAAGGTATACACGTCGGATAGTTGGTCTAAGAGAGGCCACTGCTACTTAAATGTGAGGTGACCAAGAAGTAGTGTTTTAAGCATTTTATATCCTAATATGACAGTTGTAACATATCTGGGTGCCATACTGTGATTCAGAAAATTGGCAGAATTTTTCAATTGACCTGCTATTTCTGATCATTTTTCCTGTTTAAAATAATGGGAAATATGTTTTTCTTAGTTTCCTCAGAGACAGGCTGACATTTCAGGCTCTGGTTACTGACATTAACTGGCAGAAGATCTTCCTCCAGCCTTGTCTCAGTTTAAAATTTTTAAATACTTACCTTGTAAATTACTTAACTTCGGTTGTTCTGAATCTTATAGTAAAACTGCTGCTCCAGAATGTACCAGTCTGCTGTTTTGCATCCTTTCTGCACAGAATTGGGGCTGTGCATACTCCAGTTTGAGAAGCATGTACTAATGCAGAACCTGATCAGAAAAATTATGGAAAAATGAATTCTCACTGCAACCCCCAACAACCGCTCAGACGGGATTTTTAAGAAGGGATCTTAAAGTGGTTCCGAAGGAGTCGTATTGTAGGGCCAACAGCAACTGTGTATTCTCTTCCCGCACAAAGTTACTTAACCTTTTGGGAAGGACCAGAGGGAGGCTTTACGGGCAAGAGACAGCAGCAAGGGAGGGACGGAGGGCAAGGCGAGAAAGATGGGTTTGAAAAGGCAAGTTCCAGGTTTCCAGGTGCCAGGTATTTCCACGTTAGGTAATGAATTTGCGGTTTCAGGTACCCACGGCAAACCTCTGCTTAAAGTTACTAAACGGAGCCCGGGCCCCCCGCAACTGGCTCGGCGCGTCCGTACTGCGCATGCCCACGGGGCGGAGCGGGGCGGGGCGAAGAGGAGGGGCGGGGCGCGCCGAGCTGGCCCGGGGCCGAAGCCAGGGAGAGCATGGCCACCCTGCATCGGCTGCGGGAGGTTCCCCGGCACTTGCTGGTCTGCGAGAAATCCAACTTCGGCCACGACAAGTCGCGCCACCGACATCTTGTGGAGACGCACTATCACAACTACAGGGTGAGTTCGGCCGCCGTTGGCCCCTCGCGCATCGCTTCATCCCCGGGAGCTTGGGGAGGTCTGGGCAAAATCGCATTCAGCTTTGAGTGGCGGGCCCGCCCTCAACGCGCAGAGGGGCGGGGCCCCTCGCCAGGCATGTTGGGAATTGTCATCTCTTCACTGCTCCCAACTGCTCGCTTGCGGAGCTGCAGGACTACCACTCCCAGGATGCTCCGGGGGCGGGGGCAGTGTCCTCTTCTCTCGGGGGGAGGGGCGGGGCGGCGTGCCCGCTGCCGACTCCAAAGCGCGCTGGCTTCTTTGGTCCCGCCCCTGGTGGGGTGCTTTCCCGGGAGGGACGTGAGAGTAGGGGCCGAGCCTGGGAAGTTAAAGAGCGAGTGATGGGTGCGACGTGGAGCTGCGGGTCGGTGGAAAATCGGGGCCGGACTCGGCGCTCCTCTCCACGTCTTGATTCTTTCTCCCTCCTCGTGGGAGCGTCTTGCCGAGTCCGGACCTAGGAAGCACGTGCTTTTCTAAACTATTTATGGGAGCTAGGTTTAGATCTGAGAAAATTCCCACTTTGCCTGCTGTCTTCTGTGGTCTCCAGCCAAAGCGCGCCAGTTCGGCAGCTTTGTGTAGAAATGCGCCGTGGTGGCTCTGCTTGCGAGCACAACTTAAGAGATTTACAGGGGTGCTAACATGGGTGTTGTTTCGTGAAAATGTCATCCTCGTGGGGGTGCTTTGTGTAAGTTGAGGCCTTAGTGAGGTTAATTATCTAGCATCCGGCAAGAGAAGAGAATAACCCCAATGCCAGTCAAGTGTCCAATGGCTCGGTTTCACCAACCCATGCAAGTGGCGAGGTCTCCAAAAACTCAACCTGAAAATGGTTTTAGCCTTTTACACTTTAAATTCATCAGCCTCATCTCCACCCAGACCTGACTGTCATGGCAGTTTCTCAGAGACACAGGTGGTGAGGCCGGTCCCTTAGGAATAGACTGGTGTTTGAGCTTTGGGAGAGTGCTTTTCAAGGTGGGGAGCACTTGGGCAACATTTGCCTAAACTCTTGTTTAGGTTTAACATCTCTGCTTTAGACAAAAGCTCATCACAGGCAGCAATCGGGGTGTGTATCTTATCTTTTCCAGGCTGATCTGTAGAATTTTTCTGTCTAGAAAATAGAAACAGCCTGGACCACTTCTGCTTTCATGGAGCCTCTTAATGATTGATGTCCCTAATTTCCTTATGCCCTAAGGGACAGTCCTTTTGATTCCAGCCTGGTACCAGGTTAAACAAATTTAGGGGTATTCCACTGTACCATATTTCCTTAAAAATTAATTAGAGCAGTGGACAGGATATAAAACATATTGTTTATTTGCAAAAGCTTTCCATTAAGTTTTTTTTTGCTTCTTTAACTTTAATGTTTGGATACAGAAATGAAAAACGTGAATTGTCAAATTTCTCTTTTCCTGAGACTGGTAAATTAATGTCAGAGTTTTATAGAAACCCATGGGGGAATAGTTAGCAGCCCTCATATGTTATAGCATTCTTAAAAAGCTGGAGGCTGATCTACATGAAAGTAAGACTGGTTTATGTTACACATTCCAATAGGTTTCATTTCTGATTCCTGAATGTGGGATTCTGTCAAAAGAACTGAAAAACCTAGTCATGGAAACTGGACCCTATTACTTTGTGAAGAACTTACCTCTTCATGAGTTAATTACACACGAATTCATCAACACCTTTGTGAAGAAAGGTAAGAAAAATTTTGTCGTGTCTATGAATGTGGCAAGATGAGGAAGTATAGTTAGATCACATCACGATACCACGGCTCTTCTCTTGTCTTAAATAGGGCCTGTGGAGGTAGTCTGCATGGTCAAGTGCATGCATCACTCTCCCTCCCTCAGTATCCTCACCCTACTTTTTCTCGTGCTCTCTTTAGGTGGTGGTTTCTGATGACACTCGTCCACGAGTGTGGCATGGGGATGTTGTAACATAAAGCTATCCCTCATCTTAAAACAAGGATTCAGGGAGAGGAGAGAGCCTTGGGATCTGTGTGTTCAGATACACTGCTGTCAGTGCGTGGCCACAAAGACCACTGTGTTCCCAGCAGTCCCCACTCAGCCGTCTTGAAAGGTTCATCTCCTGATGCCACCCAGCTGTTCACTGGGTGGTGTGCTCATTATGGTTCAGTGACTTCTGCTTTGAGTTTGTGGCTCTGACCCTCTCTGCTCACCCCACCCCATTTCCATTGATGTCTGCTGGGTTGGTGGCTTTGTTCTAGTTGTTTCCTAGGGAGCACTTGTTTGAAACTGTATTTCAGACTGTCGTTAGGGATTCCCCCTTCACCACGTAAGTCACTGTACTTAGAAGTAAGCAAGCCCCTTCTCTTGCTGTAGGCTCCGTGTTCGTTGTCTGCAGGGAGCCCTGAAGAATCCAGTGACTTGCAGTTCCTCTCATTTGGGTGCTGCTGGCCCTGCTTGCGAAGCTGGCCGTGCATGTTGTCTTTGGTCTCGTCAACTTGAGTCCTTTCATCTATTTTGAAGTTTGGTGCTACTTTGTTAATAGTGTGGCCACTGGCTGTAACAAGCACTTTTACGTAACCAGGTTGAACTCTTGCAGCAGCTCTGTGAGTTAGGCCTCTGATCCCCATTTTACAGGTGAGGAAAACTGAGGTTCACAGAGACTGAGTGGCTTTCCTAACCTCACACAAGGCCCTGGCACATTTTGAGTCTTTACCTGGAACTCTTCCTCTCAGGAGCGTGCACTGACCTAGTATTCTACTTTGTGCCTCTCGGCCAGCACCCTCAGCGGTACACACCACACCCGGAGTCCATTTCCTGCTTGATGATAGTCACCTGGCACAAATAGGCCCTGGGTGGGGGCGTGAACTAGCTGTTGTGTGGCATCTGTGTCCTCGAGCTCACCCTTGGCAGGTTTTAGGGTTATTTATTTATAGATTGTATTTATTCATTTGAGACAGAGAGAGAACACGAGTGGGGAGAGGGAGAAGCAGACTCCCCGCTGAGCAGGGAGCCCAACGCGGGGCTCGAACCCTGAGCCAAAGGCAGACACTTAACCATCTGAACCACCCAGGCGCCCCAGGTTTTAGGTTTATTGAGGGAGCTGGAGCTGTGGTGGATACTGACCCTTACTCACCTGGCAGATATGTTATCATGTGAAGAGAATCCACTAACTTTTTGCAGGTGTGATTTTTTTTTTTAATTTCACGTCTGGACTTTCTTACAGGTTCGTGCTGTGCACTAACATACAATACAAATATCGATGAAGATAATACTGTGGCCCTGCTGCCAGACGGTAACAACACTCACTTTCTCTTTAATTTTAAAAGAAATACTGTAAAAAAAAAAAAAAGTCAAATCTCCAGATTCAGTCCCCTTCTTAGAATGAACTGTTTTTAACAGGTTGGTTTTTATTCTTCTTGACATTTTCTATGAATTTATAAACACACATAAAGCTTGTTTTTTTTTTTGTTTAACATAAATCACATTGTACTACATTGTTTCTCAATTTTCTTTTTTCTCAATATGTCATAGACATCTTTCCGTATCAGGGCATATGGTTCTGACTTACTATTTTTAATATTTTGAAGGTATTCTAGTGGAGAGGTAACCATGATTTGTTTAACTATTCCATCTTTAATAGAAATTTAGATAATTTCTGTTTTCACTGTCATAAATAATATCCTTGTATGTATAATAGGTTAAAATATTCTTGTACATAAATAGGATGTATGTATAAATAATATCCTTGTATTATAAAGAAGATCCTTGTGTGCAGTTTATTACCGTCATAGTTAACTGCTCGATGGGCTGTGCTTTCTTTTAATCAGAGAACATGTCATATTTTTAACATCTCTTTTATGGGAACTATTTGACTTATAGGGAAATTAATTTTATCACTGGATAAAGATACTTATGAAGAAACTGGTCTTCAAGGTCGTCCATCTCAGTATTCTGGCAGAAAAATCATGAAGTTTAGTAAGTATTACGCTCTCATCAGTTTCTAACAAGTCGGTAATCTTCCTGTAGCAATTTCAATGTAAATGTTTGAATTGCCGCTGTTCTCTTTGTTCAGAAGGAGTATGGCTTTTTTTTTTTTTTTAAGATTTTATTTATTTATTTGACAGAGAGAGATAGCGAGAGCAGGAACACAGGCAGGGGGAGTGGCAGAGGGAGAAGCAGGTTTCCCACTTAGCAGGGAGCCTGATGCAGGGCTTGATCCCAGGACCCTGGGATCATGACCTGAGCCGAAGGGAGACGCTTAATGACTGAGCCACCCAGGCGCCCAGGAGTATGGCTTTTTCTTGTCTTTAAAACTTCTGACCCACGGGGCTCTAGGTTGAGCTTTGGAGAGACTAAGATTGCTGTTCTGTTTCTTTTCGGCTGTGGGCTGCATCTTATAAGGATCACAGAATTGGAATGGTCCATTAAATATATATGTTTTGGGTCAAAAATCAAAGTAATGAACCCAAGATAAGAGTCTACAGCTTGTTCTTAATAAAGAATTTCCTTTACTTTCCCCAGGTTTTTTATGATTACTAGTAGAGACACCCCCATGACTGAAGAGATACGGTTCTGCCGATAGTGTCCGGCTTGAACATGAATGACTGAGGCTGTCACATCCTTGGGTAGATTAGGATTGACCTCCCAAACCTCTGCCCTTGGGCTTTGACCTCGGAAAAGTATGAATTTAAAACATTTGTTGTTACTGTCAATGCTAGAAATGCCCACGAAAGGCAGAGTTTTGATTTGGTAAACCAAAGGAGTGCAAGAACAAAATAATTTTTGCTAGTCATAAAACTTCCAAAAATTCTGATGCTTTATAATACAGCACTTTTTCCACAGTGTAGGCTGTGTGTATATGAATGAACTGTTTATTCCTCTTTCCATTTTTTAAGTTGTTTCCATTGATTTGATGGATTTATCCTTTAACCTGAATTCTAAGAAGTATGAAAGAATATCTTGGTCCTTCAAAGAAAAGAAGCCATTGAAATTTGATTTTCTTTTGGCTTGGCATCATACAGGTATGGAAAATATGTAACCGTAGAGTGATTTGGAAATCTAGTCATTAATTAAAGGGGAGTAATGGAGAATTGAATTGTGATTCATCCCTGTGGTCTAGGATATTGTGTACATATGTGCATAAACATTATTCGGGAAGCTGCTTTGGGCCCCCTGCCATTCCCGGGAGCCATAGTTTGGGATGATATAGGCATGCGGCCATCTGCCTCCACCTCCTTGGGTCATGTGTCGATCCAGAGATCTTTAGAGTGGCTTCAGAGCAGTTAACTTTTATATGTCTCTCCCCTTCCTTCTACACCTTACCTCAAACAGCCTTGGCAGTATGTTTTAAAATAACACAAATTATAAACACAAACTGTTGATTATTTCAGGCATGCCATTAAATGTCAGACGAAATTTGTTGTAACTTGAAATTGATTAGAACGTGAAATTTAGCGGGGTGTTTGGTCACCAAACGTGGTGACGTGCCGACAACTTCCACGCACCTTGCTCCTTTTAGAGTGTATCTTTGGTCCATCACAAGATTGTAACGAGTCAAATCATCACAGTTGTGATGGTGTCATATTCATTTTTGGAGGATAGGGAGGCACATAGGTCCATTTTGGAAATATGCCTATGCATCTGCTCTTTGTGGGACGTTTCTGGTCACACGGTGCTCCAGGCTGCCCCTATGAGTCTTTAGTCTGTAATGCTTTAGTGCTTCTCCTTAGGGTAGAGATACAGGAGGGCAGGCAGACTGACATTCAGTTGCATGAAGTCTTCATTGAGGACCATGTGTGCTTTTGGTTCTGGAGAGCTCTGTATTCCTAAGGCTCCTAATTATTCTGAGGGCTTGTCAAGAACTGGGGAAAGTCCAAGATTTTCCTCACTTGTACGCCAAGTAGTTAGCCTGCACAGTCTCATGGATGCTGGCAGAAGACACAAGACTTGGGATTGAATTACTCACAGTAGTGGCCGTAGTGCAGCAGGTCCCACTACCTACAGGGTGACACGCGGTGGGCCAGGGGATACGACATGTGCCACGGGCTGCATTACAGGAGAGGAATCCCGAGCTGCAGGAACTCCAGTCTTACATCCTGGCTAGTAAGCCTGCGGGCCTTTGCTCTGGGGCGGAGGGTTGGGGCGGGGGGAAGGGAGCAGATTATTTCTATTACACTGGACACGAAGCAAGCCTGACTTTTGCTCCCAAGGGGGCCACTATTTCTGTCTTCCAAGGCTGTTGGAAAATCCTTGAAGATAAGTTGGATTTTACTGGGTTTTTAAAGACAAGCTTAAATGAGATTCTGCCATCATTCAGTTCCTCTTGTGTTTCCTTTACAGAGATTATGCAAATAAACTCCTCTCTGTAGAGTTCACTAATTTTATTTAGCCATGAGTAGCACTTTTTTGTATTCAGTAACTCAAAATTTTCTTACTAGAGCAAATGCTGAAACTAATATGGGGTTGCATCTGAAAGGATTATGCTTTTCCAGGAAAAAGGAAAGGAAATGAATGTTTAGAGAACTTTGGCACAAGGAGCCGAAAGCAACTTAAATGATTTTAATTTGAATACAGCTTTGCACCACTCCCTTCTGCGTTACTTCATCTCACCTGCTCCCCGGAACTCTCACATGGGAATGGGGCGGTTTCAGGGATTCACTGAACTTGCTCTCAGGAGTCAGATGACCTTGTATGGTGTGTTTTTAAGGTGCGGAAGAATCCACAATGATGTCATACTTTTCCAATTACCGAATTCAGGAGCATCAGCCAAAAATAGCCCTGAGCACCGTGACGGAGCTGCCGTGCCCGGTGCTGCGAAGCAGCGCCCTCCGGGGGGCGCCAGAGGAGGCCTGCAGCGCTCCGGAGCTTCTGGACTGGCTTGGCGCCGTCTTCAGCCACGCAGAACTGTGCGTAGCAGCTCCTGGGCTATGGGCTCAGGCTCTGGCTGACTTCTTGTTCTTCATAGGGGATTATACTTTGAAAATGAATCATGCGGGAAATGTAAATATGTTATCTTTCTTTCTTTCTTTCTTTTGTGTGTGTGTGACAGAAATAATGAGCCTAATAACTTCATATCAACCTATTGCTGTCCTCAGCCAAGCACAGTGGTGGCCAAAGCTTATCTGTGTACAATCACTGGTTTCATACTTCCAGAGAAGATCTGTCTCCTCTTGGAACAGCTGTGGTGAGAACGCTTTTTGCCTTTTATATCTTGCTTGTCCGTACTCACATGACATTTTAGGGGCAGCGCTACTGTTCCAGATCGCAGTGTACTCTCACACACGTTTCCACTTTTTTCCTTGCTTGGGCTCACAGTGTGGTAACATTATCATCTTAAATGATGTAACTCTCCTTGGTGATAGGAAAATTGTATTGCCAAATACTTGTCCTTATGAAAAGACAAAGAGCAGGGTTTAAGCTTCTTGAAAACAAACTATTCGTTTTTCTTGTGCTCCAGAAGTTGTAATATCACTTAAGAAAACAGCAGTACTCTATGGGACACTATGATTTGTTTTAAATGTTAGAGTCCTGCAGATGTTTTATTTTGAAAACAAGTTGACCACTTTTGAATCCAAATCATGTCTAAGCTCTCTTCTGGCCCTGACATCCTGTGAGGCCCTGGGCGTCATTAACATGCCAAGGATTGGACAAGGCAGTATGGGGTTTTTCATTTGAGAAGGTACTCTATAAATAAGACGCTACATTTTATCTACTGTCAGGAAACTCTGATTCCATATTGAAAAGACCATGAAGCAAACATAATGCCTTCTCAGTCTTCACTTTTTTTTTTTTTTAAATAAGCTTAATGCCAGGCTTGAACTTATGACCCTAAGATCAAGACCTGAGCTCAGATTAAGAATTGGATGCTTAACCAAGGCACCCATCAATCTTCACTTTTTAAATGTCTAAGATTTAAATCTTGAGGGTTTTCTTTTTTAAGCCCAATACCCTTTTTCATATATTAGTTTAGTACTTTCATTTTCCTCAATAAGAAGGTTGGATTTTTTTTTTTTTAAGATTTTTATTTATTTGAGAGAGAGTGAGAGAGTGAACACAAGCAGGAGGAGTGGGAGAGGGAGAAGCAGACTCCCTGCTGAGCAGGGAGCCCGTTATGGGGCTCGATCCCACGACCCCAGGATCATGACCTGAGCCAAAGGCAGACATGTAACCGACTGAGCCACCCAGGCACCCCAAGAAGACTGGATTTTTTTTAATTTAATTAAATTAATTTTTAAAAATTTTTTTAAAGATTTTTATTATTTATTTATTGAGAGAGAGGGAGAGAATGGTAGAGAGAGAGCATGAGAGGGAAGAAGGTCAGAGGGAGAGGCAGACTCCCTGCTGAGCAGGGAGCCCGATGCAGGACTCGATCCTGGGACTCCAGGATCATGACCTGAGCCGAAGGCAGTCCCTAACCAACTGAGCCACCCAGGCACCCTGGATTATTTTTTAAATCCAGTAAATTATTCTGCAGTGTTTCAGTTAACAGACTGAAAGCACTGTTAAATGGAGGGAAACTATTCCTGTACACTTTGTGTTTTTGTTTTGTTTTCTCTTCGCATCTTACATGATGTTCCACAGTAAGCGTAGGAACTGCTGAAGTTGGTTTTGTGCATTCTGTAATTGGTTAACATTTATTGAATACACCACATAGGATCAGGAATGTAATTTGCATCTCTTAATCCTTATAAATAAAAGCTACGGTCTAAGCTTCATTGGAACATCAGAAATATCACTTATCCTGAATAAGTAAAAAAATGTGAACATTCCTAGCCCTCCCTGTTTGTTAAGATTTATCTTTCTTTTTCAGTCGCTACTTTGATGAGCCCAAGCTAGCTCCTTGGATTACGTTGTCAGTACAAGGCTTTGCAGACAGTCCTGTTTCGTGGAGAGAAAATGAACATGGTTTTCGAAAAGGAGGAGAACATTTATACAACTTCGTGATTTTTAATAATCAGGACTATTGGCTTCAGATGGCTGTTGGGGCAAATGATGACTGTCCACCGTAAAAAATACAAAATTTAAAATCATGTTTGTTTATGTTCATGCTTTCTTTCAGATTTTGTTAATGGTAAAGGACTGTGTGTTCACTCAGGTTTGTATGATGATGGCATTTTTTAGATCAGCATCCATTAGCATTCTTGACTTAGGGCCCATCCTGTGAGCGTAGCTGGGACTGACATCCAGTGAATAGCTCATAGTTGATTACCCCTGGTCAGTGTCAGTATAAGTACAGAGGTGTGGGTTACTGCATGGTAGAGTGGACTAGGATGCCCAGGGAGCAGGTGTTCTTAGACCATTGGGTAAGATGTGTGCTGTTACTCGGGTGTATGATTACAACTTTTTCACATAATAAAAATAAGTCCTTATATCATACTTCTCAGAGCCAGCCCTGCTTTAAGTACTGATTGTATTTTACCTCATTTATTTATTTATTTTAAAAGGATTTTATTTATTTATGTAATTGACAGAGACAGCATGAGGGGGAACACAAGCAGGGGGAGTGGGAGAGGGAGAAGCAGGCTTCCGGCTGAGCAGGGAGCCCGATGTGGGGCTCAATCCCAGGACCCCAGGATCATGACCTGAGCCAAAGGCAGACGCTTAACCAACTGAGCCACCTAGGCGCCCCTACCTCATTTATTTCTTGCATCAACAGCACAGAGTATAAGTGAGCTACCAAGGTCACACTGCTTGTGAGTCTGAGACCTGACCTCAGGCCAGCTGGTTCCTAAGTGTGTGTTCTCACTCTTGCCTCTGGATCAAGAGAGGGGTATTTGGATACTGTATATTGTAAAGAACAAGTTGAAAGAATTTCTCCCCTAGCACCATGGCTGATAAAGACCAGCTGAGAACAACTAAAACTTCTGGAATATATATCAAGAACCATTTTTAAAAATGGATCAGTGAACTATAAAATAAGTCTCAAAAAATTTTAAATGGAAGTAGAAGCACAAAGAGGTAATTAGGACACTGGGGCCACTTTTTGCCCTTAGGGACATTTGCCAAATACCTAATTAAACTTTGTTTTTCATCATCTGGGGTGGGAAAGGGGCAGTAGCATAGCAGACAAAGCTTAGGGCCTGCCCAAAGTGGGAGGGACAATAGGAGATCTCATGAAGTTGAGACCCCAAAAAGATAAGTCTAAGGGTGAACTATGAACAAATCTGCCTGCCTCCTCCCTCTCCAATCTCCCTTTGTCCTCCCCCACTTCCCCCAGATAGCAAGGAAGATTGCCTATCCTGAGAGAATACATCTCCATCTTCCCTGAGAAGGAATATATGTGTGTGTGTGTGTATGTGTGTGTGTGTATGGCCACAAGCAGCCCTGAAGCTGGTTGGTTTGAACAATCTGGGTAGTCTAAAAAAAGTCTCACACCAGAAATTTAAAGTGATACCAGGTTTTTAGTGCCCTCCAGGTGACTGACAGAAGCAAAACTTCGTGTCTTTGGAGGAACTCAGAAACAGTTTCAAGGATATAAGTTCACAATCAAAAATCACAAACATAAGATAGACAAGAGCTAGCAGAAATGATGGACAGAAGAAGCAGGCCTACAAAGACTTAAGCTCTTAAGATTCACCAGACATAATATAAAATATATTTTATATTTATAGAAAGAAATAGGGGAGATTAAAGAGCATGATTGTAAAAATGGTCAAGTAGATTGGGAAAAGTACCAAGTGGAAACCTAGGAATAAGGAACACCATAATTGAGAGTTCAGCGGATTGACTAACATAACAGCAGACTAGGTACCACTGAGAAAAGAATAATCACCAGAGTGATTGAATTTATTCAATTGAATTGAATCACTTGCAAAAGACTATCACCAGCAGATAACACATTACAAGAAAAATTACAGGGTGTTCTTCAGGCAGAAGGAAAATGATACCAGATGGAAATCTAGATCTACACAAAGGGTTGGAGAGCACTGGGAATGACCTATCCATAGGTCATTTAACCATATGGTCAACCTATCCATATCAATAGTCCTATTAAATGTAAACAGTCTAAATGCTCCAATTAAAAGGCAGAGATTATCAGATTGGATTTTAAAAAACGCTGCCTTCAAGAAATGTACTTTAAAGATACAAGTAGGTTAAAAGTAAGGATAGAAAAAGATACCCCATGCTAACACTAGTCAAAGCTGGAATGTGTATATTAACAAAAAAAGATTTTAGAGCAAGGAATATTAACAGGGATTAAAGCTTATGTCATACTGATAATGGGTCTGTTAATGAATGTAACTGACAGCAATCCTAAATGATAGCAAAAGCCGATCACACTGCAAGGAAAAAATGGACAAATACACAATTATCAACGATTTTAGCATCCACTTTCTAAAACTGACGGAGCAAGTTGGCAGAACAAAAATGTAGCCTATTTGAACAATGATAACAGCTAATTTGACCTGGTTGATATTTATAGAACATTCCACCTACCACAGCAGAACATGAGAGTGTACATGGAATATTTATGAAGATAGACCACATTATGGCCCATTAAAAAAGTCTCAAATTTGAAAGTATCATACTAAGTATATTCTTTGGCCACAGAGGAATTATGTCAGAAATCAGTAACAGAAAGATCCTTGACAGTCTCAAATATTTGGAAACTAACAAGTCAAAGAGACCTAAAGAGAAATTGGAAAGTAATTTGAAGTGAATAAGAAATTATGGGTTGCCACTAAAGCAGTACTTAGAGGGAAACTTACAGTATTAAATACCTGTATTAGGGAGGAAGAACGGTCTCAAATCAGTGACCTGAGTTTCCACTTTAAGAAACTAGAAAAAGAAAAGCAAATTAAATACAAGGTAAGCAAAAGGAGAGGAATAATAAAGATCAAAGAGGCAATCAATGAAATAAAAGACAAAAACAATAGAGATCAATGAATCCAAAGCTTGTTCTTTGGGAAAAAAAACCAATAAAATTGATGATAAATCTCCAGCCAGATTGGTGAGGGAAAAAAGAACGCAAATGACCAAGAAATATATATAAAGAATGAGAGAAGTAACATCAGTACAGATCCTACAGATATTAAAAGGAATATTAGGAGCAACTTTATGCCAATAAATTCAACATCATTGATGAAATTGACAAATTCCTTGAAAGATACAAATTACCAGAGTACACTAAAAAAGAAATAGATACCCTGAATAGCCCTACAAAAGAAATTGCAGGGGTGCCTGGGTGACTCAATTGGTTAAGCATCTGCCTTCAGCACAGGTCATGATCCCAGGGTCCTGGGATAGAGACCCACTTTGGGCTCCCTGCTCAGCGGGGAGCCTGCTTCTCCCTCTCTTTCTGCCCCTCCCCCTGCTTGTGCATTCTCTCTTGCTCTCTTTCTCAAATAAATGAAATCTTTATTTAAAAAAATTGAAATTGCAGTTTTAAAACCTTTCTTTAACAAAAATCCAGGCCCAGGTGGCTTTAGTGGTGAGTTTTACCAAAAACTTCAGAAGAAATAATACCAATTCTACACAAACTTCCAAAAAATCAAAGTGGCATAATTTCCAATTCATTCTGTGAGGCCAGCATAACTCTGGGACCAAAATTATTAGCCAAACAAAACAAGAAAAGCTACAAAGCCATATGCCACATAAACATAGGTACAACAATTCTAAGGAAAAGTTTAGTAAATTGAATCCTATGATATAATAAAAAGATAATATATCATGGTCATGGGATTTATCCTGGGAATGCAGGGTTGATTTAGCATTCACATAATCATCTCAATACAGAAAAATCATTTGACAAAATTGACCATCTATTTCTGAGAAAAACTCAGGCAAACTAGGAATAAAGGGAGCTTCCCCAATTTGATAAAGGGCATCTACAAAAACCCTAGAGCTAACATCATACTTAATTGTAAAAGATTGAATACTTTCCCCCTAACATCAGGAACAAATAGGGAGGTCTCTAGCCAATGTTGTACAGGAGATTCTAGACTACACAATTGGGCAAGAAGGAAATGACATCCAGATTGGAAAGAAAAAATTGCCTTTATTCACAGATGACATTATCTTCAGACATGTAGAAAATGTACAATGGAAAAAAATGTACAATGGAGTCTACCAAGTATGTATTAGAACTAATAAGTAGACCTCTTAATGGGGCCAGTGAATAACACTGCTGGCATTTTATATGCAGTAGTGAATGAGTGAAGGACTATAATCATAGCTCACTACTTGCTATTGTTTCTGTTTTAATATTCAACTATAGTAGTGTTTTAAATGAAGAATAAACTCAAATATAAAAGCTCAAAAAAAAAAAGAACTAATAAGTGACTTTATCAAAGTTGCAAGATACAAAGCAACATACAAAAATCATTTTTGTATATGTGGCAACAATTAGAAATTGAAATTAAAAATCCACACTTACAACAGCTTAAAAAATGTACTTAGGAATAAATCTGACAAAAAATATGAAAGACCTGTACTTTGAAAACTACAAAATATTGTTGTGATAAAGAAGACCTAAATAAACAATAATATATACCTTGTTCATGGCTCAAGAGATTCAGTATTGTTAAGATGTCATATTCCCAAAATACAGATTCAATATAGATTCAATACAATCCCAATCCAAATCCCAACAGGTTATTTTTGTATGTGTCTATATAAATTGACGAGTTGATTCTAAAATCTCTGTAGAACTGCAGTGGGCCTAGAACAGCCTCCAGGGCTGCTTTACAACTTGGCGATATTAACACCAAAAGCTTCCAACCGCTCCATTCTCTGCCTCAACACAATGTAAACCATCAGCCCAAACCGGAAGTCAGCAGGTGTTTTTGTTTCAGTATGTCCCTCTGATTATCTGTATGAGTGCATGCCAACTGAGAGGAGGTGTTGTAATAAGGAACCTAATTTAGGAGGTGTCAGTTGAAGTTGGAAATAAGATTTACTGCTGTTCATTCTTTGGAATAATCTGGGGTTGATTAGTGTTTTCAAACTATATCTGCCAGTTAATATGATGTTCAACTATTTTCTATATAAGATGAAAAATAAAAATCTGATATAAAAGGATTTTTTAAAGACTGAGTTGA